CTGTAATCACCCCTCAGAGGGAGGGGTTCTGCCCCGAGTCGAGTCTGATTGCCGCCTGCCCACAGTGCTGCCTTCCACCACCCGTGTAAGAAAGAAGGTGGTCTCCTCCGAGTCTGGGGGAACTAGTTACAAACACCCACAGTTGCCTTATACACCCCAAAATCCCTCAGCAAAGCTTTCCATCAACCACCAAAGAAAAGCAATAACGCTGAGATGGTCACTGCCCAGCCACTTCCACAGTCCTGCTGATTTTACTTTCTCAGCCTGTGCACATTAATCAGCTCCCATCCTGTTTTGACAGGGACACCTGCCTTGGTTTTGTGCTTACACAGAGGCTAGCGCAGAGCCCTGTTCCACGGTTAGGACTTTTCCAGTGTGCCACAACCACTAGGTCTCCTTTACTTGCTATGTGTCTACGTTTCCAGTTACTTCTGGGGCACTTCCTCAAGGCTGAAGCTGTCTCTTAACTCATGTTTCAGCTCCCTGCATTTATTACATTTCAGTTTCGGTAGTCTCCAGGCAGACTACATGCAGCACCGATCTCTTTGGCCAGATTATTAAGAGAGAGGGTAAGCTGGGACCCAACAGTGTCCCCCCCAGGTGCTACACTGCTATCCCCAGCAACCAGCTTCAAGATAAGTTCCAAAGAGCAACATGCAAATATTCAGCTTACCTGGAAAAACAAGCTCAAGGTAAGGTTTCAAGAAAAATACTATCAGATGCTTTATCTGAGACCAGCCCCCAGAGCTCTCTCACTTGTGAAGCTCAGTATTCCTACCACAGGATCAGGTTTATCTGGGCATCAACTACACAAACTCAAGTCTCTTCCCTGCAGAGGACAGCACATTTTCTGGGCTCTCCTTCTCCTCCTTCCAACTTTACATTAAGTAACTTGCTACCTCCGGTTTGGAAAGAGCTCAGTATTCAGTTTTATCTGTTGGAAACGCAGTTCTCCCTGCTACAGCTTCATTCCTGGATCACACTCACAAGCCATATGAGCAAAAGTTCTTTGAAAAACAAACCCATTTAATCCTTTCAGCTGTGTCACTGCAATTTGCTACTTAGCTCGGAAGTTTTCCAAAAGGAAACTACGTCTCCAGGTTTTGCTGTTTTCACCTGCAGGATTTGCTCACTGCTGAAGAGGTACTCGGCATGTATACGAAGTAATTCACTCTCTGCTTACAGCTCAGCCTACATCAGGATGCAGCTTCTGGAGGCTTGCTGCAGTGCTCTGTCACGAGAGCAAGCCAATTGCTAGCATTGCTTCCCTTCCCCCCTCTTCCCTTTTGGGATATGTATCACCTTTATTTAGCTTGTACAGCTCTCCCTCATTGCCCCTGGGAACTAGTATATCTCCCTCATTCCCTACTATTTCTGAATAAATGTCCCCCGAGGCCCAGCAAGCATATTTGTTCATTCATTCCCTTAACGCAGAGGCACACAAGCACGTACACGGACACGTGCTTAGAAAAGCCTCTCTTACCTGATTTGTATCAAAACCTCTGCAATTTGGAAGAAAAAAAAAAAAAAGACCAAAAAAGAGACCTTCTAAGGCAACAGATTTCTAGTTAATTATTTCAAAATCAAGTCATTTCCAGTGGTGCTGCTGCACCATAGTAGCGCTACTCTCTCATAAATTACTCGTTCTGCTTTGTCTTTTATTCTCCACCTGCATTCCCACAGTCCTTGCTCCAAACAGCATTCGCAAGAGCTCTTCTTTCCCCTTTTTGGCTGCCATTCTGCCTTTTTATCGCCCTCTTTCTTCTGCAGTCTTCCAAGTGACAAGGCAACAGCAAGGCAGTTCATAGCACAGTTCTCCCAAGCAACACTGCCATAAACTAAAGTTTCCCTACTGGATGGAGAACAAAATGCTACAAAGGGGAACGGTCTGTTTTCAAACCGCTCAGGGATAATTTACGAACAGGGAGGAGATCAAAAGAAACCCAACTCCAAACTCCAACTTTAGAGTTCAAGGAAGGGCAAAGTGACAGAAAACCACGCTGCTCGACCCCTTCTTCCCCCCTCTCCCACTAAGGCTGTCTTTTACTCTACTCTCCCTTACTTCTTCCTTCCCATTAACCTTCTCCAGTCTTTTCACCTGAGTATTTACAGCCACCCCAACTCGGGGGCTTTGCTAGCCACCCACTGAGCTTGCAGCCCTGTCTCTTAATAGCACTTGCTAGACTTTATTAGATTAGTTGGCAAGTTTTACATTCCACACAGCAGAGTGCCGGGGGAAGAGCAAAATAAAAAGAGCAAACTGAGCAGTGGAAAAAGAGGAAGATCACTATAGCACGCGCTATGTCTTTTGCTAACCTCGCACAAGCTTCCATTCTGACCTGCAGCTGAAGGGCCTGTCCTCAAGGACTTCTGCCAGCCACCTACGTAGTAAGGTAAGAGCCTTACGTACAGCGCTGCCCGTTTCAGACCACAGACTCTGCTTCCCATACACTCGGTCCAGAGCTTGCAGCATACCAGCAGCCTCCCAAGAATTACAACCTCCCGCCAAGCTTGATCTCAGCTGTGGGAAAGTTTGCCCCTAGTATGCAGAGGATAAAGACCCATTTCCTGCCCAAAACTTTGCAGTTGAAGTTTGCACGGGTCACTTTCAACACTGGCCATCTTGACAGTGGTATTACAAAGCCTGGACTGCAATTTCCCTTTGCAGTCGGATCAAAAGAGCAAGTGTTAAGAGAGCTCTCAGCGACAGGAGCCTGGCTTACAAAGGCAGCAGGTGGCCAAAGACGCAGCTTTTCAAAGATTTTCCAAAGGCGTGGGCCACTAACCTGTAGGAATGCTTTCTGAAAATCCCCCGGGGTGCCTATCTGCAGCTTTTGAGAACTAATCCTGGGATAAACCTAGCCCCAACTGCAAACTAAAACACCCACACAAGCCAGGGGAGTGAGCAGCCTATCAGGGCACTAATGCCTTACTGGAGACTCAGGAGCCTAAGTTTAAGCACTGATACACGTGCAAAATTCTAGCAAGCCACCGAGTCGAGGCCAGACTAGTCTCCCAAAGTAGTCCTAGGCCAGACTCCTGCTTAAACATCACTGCATCCAGGCCTAATCTGTTCAGTTAACAGTTCAAAAAGAATATTGTTCTAACTGCCAACTCCAAAGGCTCCCTCTGGGATACAAGAATCAAATTTCTTCCCCTGCTTCTGAAATTCTCACTGGCAAGAGATTCTGCAGCTGAAGGAACCAAAAACATCGTCAGCGATGCACGAGGCAGAACCAAATCCCACTCCTCCCGCAGCAGCACCGGTGCTGCAGGGCTGGCAGAGGTCAAACCCCCATTTTGGGCAGGGCAGAAGAATCGACCGAGACCTGCATGCGATGTCAACTACCATGCCGGTCCCTGTCGCATTTCTAGCTGCAGTTGCGTTGCTCGTGGTTTGCCTGAACAGAGCTCAAACAAGTTCAAGATAGGGCTCGCTAAGATAGAGTTACTTCTTGCTGCCTGGCCTGGGGTGTTATTTTTAGGGTAGGATCCATAGTCACAGAAAAACGGCAAGTGGCAGCACTCTGCCCTGCCAGCCTCTCCCACAACGTGGCACCAGCCTTCAGGGGAGCTCATCTCGCTCCCTATTGCGATCCATCTCCTACAAAGTAGCAAGCCAGCTCCGCAAACCTACAGGTTTTCAGTAGCGTTCGAGAAGCTGGCAGAAGGAAGATGTGCCACAGAAACGTGTCAGGGATGTGATTCAAAGGATGCTGTTGAATAATTCAGGTTCCAAGTTTAGGGGGGTTTTAAAGGGCAAGGGGAGAAGAGGAGGAATGAGTGGGTTTTATTTTTGAGTTTGGGGGTTGGCTTTGGTTTTTTAAATGTGAAAAATTGGCAATTGATTCTGCCTTACCACGTTCAAAATCAAAATGAAAAGAAACTGATTACACAGAGTAACATTAAAAGCACAGCATAAACACTTCTCCACCACACTGCACAACGTCAGGTGTTACAAATACCACTGTTTTTTAATTCAAGCAGAGAACTATTTTAAGCTGGTGGTTTCCCTTTAAGTGTTTCTCTGCATTGTTGGAAACCTAAACACAAGGGTTTCATTTAATGCATGACTGCCAGAAAGAGAAAAACCAACCAGTCTAGTTTCCCTGAATAAAGTGTAAGAGGTGGCACATATCAGTTATGTTTGTAGTTCTCAGTCTGCAGACACAGAAAACGGTTAGCAGAAAAACAGGCAGTGAGGGAGAAGAGTGGTTCCATCAGCAGGACTTTCTGAGGATTACCACGGTCCCCTGGGTTTTACTTGGGGCATCAGAGCACGCCTGTTCCTGCATTTCTTCTGTCTGCTTCGTTTCGTCCTCTTAAAGCAGAGGAGAGGTGATACAGTACCCCTCACCGCTCTTTCTGGTGCTCACACAGTTAAAGTGCTACACTGACTTGAGTAAAGCTCCAACCGCTGTCAGGCAAAGAAAAGTATTAACCTGTTTCACAGATGGGGAAACATGCACAAAGGCTAAATGACTTGCCCAAAGCCATAGGATGACTTAGTGATAGTGATACCTTACCACAGGGTCCACCCTAGCTGTTCCAGGGCTTTATACCAGATCAAAACCAGGGAAGCTGTGAACTCGCTCATCTGTCTTAATCATACAAAGAAGGGTTGTTTCTACGTTCATTTGAAGTTTGAGACTGAGATAGTTGGAGAGGAAGGGGGGAAAGAGGGGAGCAAAGCAAGGAGTTTTGTCTTTAAACTAATAAACCCACAGAGCTCGCACAGCAGTCATGCAGATTTCTTAATTAAAAAAATAAAGTAAAAGAAAAAATAGAAGGGTGCAGCACCAGGGACTATCTTCCTCGTTCTTCACCGCAAGCAAGCAGAGATGCTACAACAACATCTCTTCTTGCAGAGATGCTGGGTCTATCAGAGGGGAACTGGAAACTTCAGCTGCTATCCTACACAGAGGTGAAACACTCCTCCTCCTCCTCCCCCCCCC